ATAAATATATAAATAAACTAATTGCAATAAATATATAAAATATATACTATAATAAGATAAATACAATTTGCATATATTATTTTAAAAAGTTTGACTCTATGCACAATGTGAATTTTTAAAAAGGCTACTATTTATAAAACACTTTTTTAAACCTATTTGTGTTACATCTTGGTAATATAAATGAATGGGGCCCATTAGTACATCTAGTCAATCAATTTCTTATTACTTATACTATAAATATTCACACTGCACAATAGAAAATTAATACAAGAGAAAAGTAAATGCCACTCAAAATAACTATAAAGCTAATCTAGTTGAGCAACAATGTCCAAAGAATATTTCTGCATGTAAGTCGTTGGACGTTATTACAAGGGTAAATTTACTATGATAACTTTGATTATTATTATAAACAGTAATTACATTTCGATACATACAATATAAACAATATGTAACATAGGTGTTGAGAATAGTAGTTCGAGATCGTTTAGAGGAAGGTAGACAGTGAAGTGCACGAGTAGCATAATTTATTACATTACTCCATAACATTCTGTCTTTCTCATTGATTAATTCATTAATAGGTGTATATTCTTTGATTTATCCAAATTTCCTAGCTCTGCGTTGTAGTAAGTATATACTGCTAAAGTACTTAGTGAAAGCAGCTATACTCCCCATACAGAAATACCATATTTAAATGTAGACATCATTAACGTTTTAAATAGATATTGTAACTCATTGATGGAATAGTGATTGGCATTACAGATTCTAGGGATATGCATTCTTCTAGTTGCTTTACACATCATAGTATTGAATTGTATGTCCCATTTAGTGGGACAGGATTGAAAAGTAACCCTCAGTGATTCCAAAGGGGGTCTTGTTAGTCTTACCTCTTATAATCATTTGCTTAGACTTATCTAAATTAAGTTTTATACTATTAAAATCAGCCCGTTCCTTGATATTGTTCACCTCAAGACTGGAGTTATATAGATTACGTATACTATTATTTCCTATAGGAATACAACAAGTTACAGGCAGCCCAAACAAGGTTCCTGTGTAGGTTTATAAGGGAATGTATGGGAATTATGATAAAGTTAAGAAAATTAAATGTTTCACTCAACAATTTGCTTCAAAACTTGTTGCAGTCGTTGCTTTTACTTTGTTCAGTCTTCTGGCGACGTTTCAGCGCGACTTGAGGCCATTTAGTGTTTTTTTTTTCAAAATCCGCTCTTCTCTACCTAAATAATGGGAAGGCTGGAGACTTAGCACCCGATATCGACTACATCACGCTAGAAAATCCAAAAAAAATCCCTCTCTCTCACCTTGAACCGCAATAAAAATGCAACATGTCAAAGGAACGATAATTTCTCTATTATAACATGTATTCTGAATGCGACGACGCCAAATATTTCCAGAAAGATCCTGGCTTAAAGTCGAATATTTGATTTCTTCTACAGCGTGTGATCGATGGTGTTCAAACGGCCGTTGTAAAGCGTGAGCGGGTCACGTTACATACTGCATTCTGATTGGCAACAAACCCACGTCTGTCGGGGAAGGGGAATTTGTTTCGAGCTTGGTATCACGTTCGGCCAATCAGAATGCAGTATGTAACGTGACCCGCTCACGCTTTACAACGGAACTGTCCTGTGAACAAGTGATATCATCTGCGCGCATACTTAATCATAACCGATTGCTCCAGAGCTGAACTTATGTCATTCACCATGACAGATACGAGTATTGGCCCGAGCACTAATTTACGATTGTCAATTGCAACTTTGTGTAGTACTCTATCAAAAGCTTTAGAAAAATAAAATGAGAGTACCTTAACAAAATTGTATTGACCATCAGGCCACTTAAGCCGCATGTGTTGGTTATAGTTATAGTTTCGTTATAGATCAAGTTCTTTGATAACGTGGGCTTCATAAGGTCGTTTCTGGAAAACCACAGACAGCCCAAACAAGGTTCCCTTGTATTGTTTATAAGAGAATGTATGTGAGTTACGACGAAGACGTGACTAATTTTTTTCACTTCATAATTTTCTTAGAACCTTGTTTCAGTCGTTGCATGTTCATTGTAAAGTTTTTTTGGGATGATTATTAATATTATGACATTGACTCTGATATCCTTCGGATTGCTGGCCTTTACTCAGTTGATTTAAGTTTTTGAATCTCATTATCTGCTCCACGTGGTGGTCAAACACTGAAATTAGTAAGAAGGCAAAGTTTCAGCTTATGACATGTAGCAAAGGAGAAATGGCATTGAATACAAAATGGCATATTTTATAAGGATTTATATGGGAAAATGTGCTGGAGGGCAAGCAATGCCCGCCAGCGCATTTTCCCATACAAATCCCTGTGAAATATTCAATTTTATATTTAATGTCATTTCTACTATAGTCAACATTATAAGCTAAAACTTTGTCTTCTTACTAATATCGAGGTGCTCTTTCGATTTCTGGTGTTCATTTTGAAACAACGTCTCTTTTTACGGGGGTAGGGTCACGTGACCTGTTGTTGCAAAAGGCCTATTGGAAAAGTTAAGCAATAGTAACCAGCAGGCATTACGGCCTCGGTCAATGGGAATTTAGATTGGTTCAGACTTCGGCACCATGACCACGCTTTGTTTCCGCATGAACGATGCTGTCATGTTCTAGACTGACTGGGTCACATTACTGATCACCCTGATCACGTGGTGTTTTAGTTAGAAAAGTCTCGCCGCCGGCCATTTTATGATTTACTTTGTGGCTAGTTCTTGTTTTCGATTCTTCACTGCTAAGAAAACAATTGCCATTTTGGAAGTCTGGTTTCACTGTCATACAATAAAAAGGGATAGTGATTTCATACTACGCCACTAACCCTTGCACCAAAAATGCAAATCTGTAACTGAAAATATTTATGTTTTTTCTCTAATTATCACCTCCCACAGAAATTTATCTGATAATCCATTGAAGCAAATCGCGCACAGCACGTTCTTCCACGAATCTTTAAAAACAGTGTAAGTATTCAATGAGCCGGTAGAAAACTCTACTTTGGCTTATATTGTAATTATTTATTTCATGATATTTACAACGAAAAATTCTAAAATCTTTTTTTTTTTGGTTCTTTGTCCTTCAGGTTTCTAATCAACATCATGCTCAAACACCCTTTGCTTATTTCAACTGCGTCGCATCCCATTATCTCATTTGTCTTGTAAGAAATGCAAATCATGTTTAAGTGAGGTTGGTGTATCAAAGCAATATCAGTTGCGCGATTTATTAACTTTGATGTTGATGACTACTGTAAAAAGCCGGTCATTTCCCGGCCATTGCAGTTGTTAAGCGATGAAATTACTAGTGCCCAAAGTAAATACTGACATAACGTAGAAAGAGCTCCCTGCATGCCGTGTGCCAATGTAGTACATATCACCAACTACTTGATTCAAAAGAGATCATACAACATCCACGTCCATTAAATTTCCAAGTCACAAGAAATTTCCAAGAAAAATAATTTTGATACCTTCCCTTTATATAGGCTATCATCAGATTTGGAAAGTTCTGCCATTATTTCTGATAACAACGATTATGATGCAATTCTTGCCGCTTCTGGTTATATATGTAAGGATTYGGGATTTTTTGAGACCAAATGCTCCTTTTGTAAACTTGGAACATACATTTCCAGTTCTGGTGATCGATGTGAAAGCTGCCCTGCAGGTAATTACTTTTAATATAGTTTTCTATTTAAGGGCGTAGCGACTTACACCACTGTAGTGTGATATCATATGTGAATTGAGTTTGTATGATGCGTTGTTCTCTCCTATGTTACAAGGGTTGTCTACTTTGTGTTAATAGAACATTGAATGTAGTGGTAGCTTGGGAGAGTGAAAACTGTCCCCAATTAGTGTGAAATCGCTAGAAAGACAATTGAATATAGAGCTTTGTCGATTTATCTATATTTCAGGTGGATTTTACCAAAATGAGATGTTGTACACTGGTATCAAGTCACACGGCGTGGGATGTAAGGAATGCCCTCATGGAAAATACGTTGCACCAGATAGAGCCCCAGGACGAGCAGAGACAGATTGTCAGTCATGCCCATTAGGTATTCAATGGTTTCTTATTGATGAAGAGTTTGCATAAATGCAGGAGTTTCATTGGCATTCTTCACGACGCATTATGGGCATGCCGATTTCATACCATAGCAGACATCATTATAGCTGCGGGCACGCCATATAGCATCTTTGTCTCATAACAACTCACAGTTTAAACTGGTTCGAGCAATTTCCGGCTATCCATATTTTAATTCTAATTATGTCATCATATTGCATTTGACAGGAACTGAGTTAAATACGTTTGCTGGTTTTCGTGCCTGTAGCTGTTTTGACGACTATTACCGACTCAATCGCTTTGAAGGCTGTCTTATCTGCACCAAAGGTTACATATGTGTAAATGAAACAATAAATTTGGAAACAGGATTCTACTGGAAGTGGAGCTCAAAGGACATATCGGAGCAATATCAAACGTTTTCTGCACAACTGCAAATTACGGATAAAGACTACGATCCCAATTTCATAATGTTCAAAGGCAGCATTCCTATAGCCTATGCTTGTCCTGTTGCCGAGTCCTGTTTGGGTGGTTTACATTCCCAGTGCAAAGTCGGTTATGAAGGTCCTCTCTGTGCCATCTGTGCAGCAGGTTACTTTCCATTTATATCAAAATGCGAAAAGTGTCCAACCATTCCCTGGATTGCAGGACAAATAATCCTAATTGTTGTTGTCTTCATTCTTCTATTGTTTGTCATATTAGGACACAAGAAAGGCAAAAATTCACAGGGGAGGACATTAACTGACATTATTCTTGCACGTCTGAAAATTGTCATCGGATTCTATCAAGTGTCTTCATCTACCTTTGACTCCTTGTCCTACATTAGCTTGCCAGGTCCACTTCTTTCGATCATGAAGTATGCCAAGATGATTCAGCTTAATCTCTTACAGATTCTTCCCCCAAGTTGTGTATCCAACTCGATGCATACAAATGCATATGCTCAGTTTCTCATCAGCATCGCCTTCTGTGCTGTAGTGGTTTTGTGTTGTCTCATCTTTCTAGTTTTGAAGAGAATTCAAATAACTCGCAATAATACCTTAAGCGTGTCTGCCAAGAATGACGAGATGTTCAATGTCAAAGTACAAAGCTACAAATGTTTATTCCTTGTTCTTTTCATCACCTTTCCGTCGACATGTTCCCAAATATTCAAGATCTTGCCCGAATCCTGTCACGAACTGTGTTCCCATTCCAATAGCCAGTGCAGGTCGTACCTTCGTGCAGACTATTCCATCGAGTGTGATGATAAAACTCACAGAATCTATGGAACCCTCAGCAGAGTAGCCTTGCTGTACACCTTCATCTTTCCATTGCTTTTGCTTGCTATCCTCAAGCGCGAGAGAGAAGCTCGGAAGAAAGGAAATCACGAAAGCACCTTTCCCGTTTTGCAAGGAACTAAATTCTTGTATGAAAACTACTCGCCATCTTGTTGGTATTGGGAGATCCTTGAATTAACGAGAAAGATTTTGGTTTCTCTGTTTTTGATCCTGTTCCAAGTTGAAAGTCGCATGGGCTTAGGAGTGACAACCATCTTATCCGGAGTCTACGCCGTGGTCTTTGCTTTGTATAAACCCATTGAAAATAAGTTTGAGCATTGGCTACAAATGCTTTCTTTGCTAGCGGGTTCTGTGAACGTCACCGTTGGTATGCTGCTGAAGATCCCATTAGAGGAGAAGTCATCCAGCATTAACAGCGAAACTGATGCTCTCATAATTACAGTTGTGCTCATGGCTGCCAACGTTGTAGTCATTGGGCTTATTTTAAGTAAGAAATAAGACGGAAGTGATTCAATGTGGTAATTTCTGTCTCACCTGTCATACAATGTTTTTCATTTGTTGGCTGGGTAATAGCGATTTCGGAGTTGAGGGAGGTACTGGGGTAAATTGTAAATATAATTGCATTAATTAACAAAGTCCAATATCGAGAAGCAATGACATTATTCATTTTTATAGTTGTCTTTTCTTAACAATCACGACTTTCTTTTACTGTTTTGTAGTCACATACATGGCTAAAATCATCTCAGCTATCAACGAACTAAGAAAGACCCCACGATGCAATCTTTTGTGCTTTCTGAGTGTCGTGCAGCTTGCAAGCGATGCTCCAGGCATTGGAGAGAGTGTGGATCAAGATCTTGATCGAACAGAAAAAAGCCAAGATGAGATGTTAACTTGTGATGTAGAGCGTATCCAGGAGGTGAACATGGATGAAGAAAATAGTTCATGGGTTGATGACAAACTTGGAAACAACCAGAGCGAGTTTGAAAAACCCGAGAAGATAAAGATCAAGAAAAAGATATAGATTCATGGATTTCTAAGAGCTAAAAGATTTTGTTACTGCCTCCAAAACTATATTCATGTTTTATGCTAACGTATGTTCGCGCGCTTAAATTCGACAACTTTAATATATTTGCGAATAATAACATATAAAATTCTCTTAGGATTGTGTTAGTTATGATAATTTGAGTTAGTTTATGTACAAAAACGTGTGCAGATTAAATAGAGAATATTCAAAATAAGTTTAAGCATAAGTGCATAGCAAAACAGCGTCGCAAAAATTGTGTTACAAGACCATCCCTTTCTTCGTTTATCTTAATATTATAACATACGTCATTTATGGCTGCTTTTGTTCTTTTGTATGTATCTTACTGATGTTAAAGTGCTTATAAGCCTTATAGAATGCCTTCTTGATTTGAAAGCCATCATAGAATAAATAAGAATGGTCTCTACTTTCCTTTTGCCATCTGTTTTCGTTGCTGAGATTCAATATGATTCAAAATAGTAATTGCAAAATGATGACGTCACTTAAGTGACCAAGTGAAAACTCCAATTATCATATTGAAAATATCTCCACGAAAATTATTCCAAAATGGCGCTGACCCGTGTGGCAGCAGTATTCGGTAACGCAACTCTAAAAAACACAGCTCAGCATTAATTCAGTAACTCATAAAAGGCTAACAACATCGTTAAAAAGGGAAAAATTAGATAAATCCACATTATTTAATGATAATTCTTAGACTTTACAGCACAACTATTCTCTTAATCGTAAAAAAATATGCATATATTATAAGTTGAAGCGGAGCTCTCCTCCTCTCGACGGTTGGACGTCGACTGAATGAATTTATATTTTTACCCTTGATGCACTGCAAACGAGTGTACATCTTACTGTGTAGAACGATCGTAACTGAATTAGCAACATCAACTGTCTTTTTAGTGTTCTCATTTAGCGAAATGTCAGGTAATGCAAACATGATATCCCCTCTTGGTGAATATACTCTTCACTTGTTATCAATTCAACCCGTTCTCGTTAAACATCTTCCGACAATTTGTCTAAAATATTAATATATTTTTATTTAACTTGCCATCACCTTTTACTGAAAGGCCTGCAATAAACACAGCAACAATGGGATTTTGTAGCTATACGTTATGTAGCTAAATACTTAAAAGCGCTTTTTTTTTAAATTTAAAGACATTGATGAATTAAGTTGGTGGCAATTTTTCTGTTTAACCTTTTTTGCAATCTTTAAATATTTTCGAAACAACATTTGGCGGTCTCTGTGATTTGATAATGACGACGATGTATGGCAATGACAATATTGTATTACAGATTATATTCTCATGTTAGAGATGTTTATAAAAGCTAATAAAACTTGTCCTTATTGGAGTCGCTTGAGAAACGGTTTAAATAATAGACCATTTTCGCACGAGTTTGTGAAGTCGCTGAAATCGAACGAGTGAGCGCAGCGAACGAGTGAGATTACAGATACAAAACCAACGAGTGGGAAAATCCCGTACAAAGTGCTTTCCATGCTGTATTTTATTTGCTTTATACATACTGAGATTTTGTTGTTTTTATTTATACACCTTTAAATGGGTTCTCTAAAAAAAATACAAAACTCCTGTATTTTAAAATTTTCTTCGAAAAGCTAAAAAAAGCTTTTAATATATATTTAGGCACTGCCTAAAAGCGGAGCTCCCGATACGAAATTAGGGAGCCAGGGAGCCCAATTTGAATGAATCTGAAAGGTAAAAATAAGATCTGGAAATTTCAATTATGAAATGCACTACATTGTTTTCTATGCGCGATTATACCATCCCACTTAGGAATTTTGAACACAACTCACCACCAGCCACCCCAGGGGCTAGGTTTTATTCTTTGAAGATTCTTCGACAAAGTTTTCCATGGCCGTCATTTTCAAGCTTTGAATTCCAAAAATAAAGTCAATTTATTTAAATAACGACCTTTACGTGTTCGAGCGTAAGGTAGTTTGGCTCTCAATATAATAAATTCGTCTTGCATTCTAGTCTAATCCCACTGCAAATTTAATTAGTTCGTTAGCAAAAATCTTCTCTAGGAGATTTCAATGCGTTATTCGATAGACCGACAAGAACAAAGAAAACCGAGCTGATGTAAAATTAAAGCATATTATTTTTCGCTTACACATGAGCTATGAGAGAACCGTCTTTCCGATAGTCCCACGTGACCTGCTTATGAACGTTACACGAAGGTAATTTTAGCTACTCGAACATTAAGTGCCCAATAAATACAAAGAATTGAATAGAATTGAAAAGAAATTGAATAGCTAGTGTTTGAGGTGGAATGATATCTAGCACTGAGCATGCGCACACGGACATAGCTTTACAAATATGATAAGAATCAAGGACAGATGAAGGATCGGATGAAGTAAAAGAATAAGATAAACTATTTTTACTATAAGTCAAATGCTAATTTGAAGTGAGCCGAAATTATAATTGGTAAAAATTATTATGAGGTCAAGGAAAGCGCTCCATTCTTGACCAAGTCACTTCTTACCTTCACATATAGAAAAGGAATGATTGAAAATGATATATACGATGTTTTAGATATTTTATTGTATCTTTATTATCTTATCGATTTTATTTACTACATATTATACTCGAAATCATTCTCTTATAATAACGTACAGACACGAGCTTGTAGTGCGAACCCACGCAAGATCGTTGGCTAACGGCATCCAGCGTTTCGTGTCGTACATTGCATTAAAATTGCCGTTTGGGTTGAAGATTTCGTTAGAAAGTTGATAAACCTTCAACTTAGCAAAATAAAGTTGAAAACTGGAAAAACTATGATCAAAACATGACTGGAAAAAAAACTACCCCAAGTATTTTAGAACAGTTTTGGAAACAAAAGGGTTGGTTTTGGAATGTGTACGACGAGATAAATCATCTTATAAGAATGAAATGCTCAGAGTTTGAAAACTTCGATAATCTCATGCAAATGCGTCGAATTGCGTGTATTCTAGGACTAAGTTGAATCTTAAGCTTCATTTCCATTTTTCAAGGCAGTGAAATGGAAATAAAGGGCTTTCACCATCAGGTGACGGTAGTCATGCTAGATAACAGAAGCAATAAACTCGTTTTACATGAGAAAGAATTCAATTCCCGAGAGCACAGGGATTTTATCGTTCTGCCATCTAACCACAGGCAGTCCAAGCTGGATTATGGCGCCGGCACGTGATGGCGCAAAACTTCTATAATGCCCCAAGTTCACTTGAATTTCTTAATTCGTTCCGTGGCTTTCGCGCACTGCACGCTGTATCCTTGAAGATAGATTTAAAACAAACAAGCGAACTCAAAGCACACATGTTGAACTGAAAAACGTTTCGATAAAGTAAAAGTTTTATAGATATATTTGTAAGTCATTCTAAAACTATTAGACTATTTTTGCCATACTTGCAAAAAAATAAAAATAAATAAAAATAAACAACCGAGTGAAATGCATCAACAACACGAATAATAGGGCTCTTTTAATTAAAATCAGTTGAACAAAACCCATTTCCCGCACTTACTGCCGCAAAATGCAAGGACACATATACATACACCTCTATTTCAACTATTTTTGAGCAAACTATACGGACTTTTTATTAAAGATTTTCAAAAGTATACATACAAATACGCCATAAACCAGAATACTTCTTAATTTGTCTATAAAATGGTTGCTACAGACTCGTGTTTATTTCAGGTTTACTTTATTCTCCTAAACATTGCTCATGAGAGTATTCTCCGTATACGATGGTACTACGTTTCTCTCCTTTCTAACATAAAACTTGCTATTTCTGACTTCCTCTTTCATTTGAACTGAAGGTAAGCAGTAAAAACTTTATTTAACGATCCCTATTCAATCGTTTCAAACACCCGTAAACCGCATGAAAAGTGACCATGTTTGCAAGTTAAACGCTATAAACCCTGTATTCTTTACTAACGATTTTCCTCTGAATTCGGTTGTGAAGGCGGATGTCAAGGATGAAACCGATCTATACTCTTTAATAATGAAAGATCGAACTCCATTTTCCTTGATTAGCTCAGAACGCGTTATTCTTTAAGGGGATTAAGGGGAGATAATACTTATAGAAAAAAGGGGCTATTTTTTTATTTTTGATAAAACAACGTCCTACCTGGAACACGGTTAATATTTTGAAACTTGTTAACATCTGGTAAATAAATTGCCCTTTGATATTTCGCAATCTGACCGCTACGATATTTAAATTGGCAATTTAAAAAACCTAAGTGAGACTCATTAATAATAATAATAACTTTATTTCTATAGCGCTTTTACCTATGTTCAAAGCGCTTTACAAACAATATAACAAATATAAATAATTACTGAAATATCAAATAATCAAAAATCTAACTACTAAACTATCTTAATGACTACATTCTATAAAAATATAATAATCTAGTAATTATAAATA